ATCAAGGGAAAGGTCCATTAACGTTCTTGGCCACTTAACTTTGTTATCCCTATCTCTCCTTCCCATTAATGGTTTTCCACCGTAGCTCGCTGTGTTAAATGTTAGCATGAGGTGTTGGCAGCCTCTTTGAGGGAACAGATTGCCCTGAAATAAACACAGCTGGAAACCGACCACCTATTGTTTTTCTTTCTGTTAGGAAATGAAAGAGCCATTTATCAAAAGGCTAAAGAACCGGGCTCCCAGGGTTACTTCAGGGATTTCTAACTACAGGGCTGCCTAATGAGCAATGCCACCCCTGGGTGTCTGAATGGGCCAGCTAACCTTCCGCCTCCCCGAGCTAGAGGCTTCCATTGCCCAGAAACAATGAACTCACCAAGGTTTTGCTACCACACAAGAGCAGGAGGTGGAGTCTGCTCTGTTTGCTTCCCGCTGAAGTGTGCCGGCTTTGGAGCTCAGGAAGGGATGAGTTCTGTTGGGGCTGCTTCTGGAGCCCCTGTGTTTGCAGCTTTCAAAACCTCCTGGGAGATGCTGAAGCTTCTGGAGATGGAGAAGTAAGTCCAGGAAGGTCCTGGATATGTGTATGGTCCTCGCGTTACTTGATTTACATCCTCAAGGAAAGAGGACATTTTTTTTTCTAAGTGACATTTGGCTGGGGTTCTAAATCTCCTGAGGTTTATTCTTGCTGTCCTGGAGTTGAATGTTTTGAAATTTTATACTTATGCAAACGTGGAACACCATGAAAATCTCTAACATGTAGATAGTCAGGGATAGATCTGGAGATGAGAGGCTAGTAATTTCAGTCAGAGGCCGCCAATCACCAGTTCTGGGGCAGAGTGATGTGATGTGGGGTGGGGTGATGGGGTGTACATGGAAGATGGGGGAGAGCCAAGGAAAGACTGTATTATTGTCTTGGCCATTTATTGTTTGTTTCTGTCCTCAGAAGTCTCTCTCCACCCTTTCTCTTCCTCCATCCTTTGCTTTGCTGTCTTTGGATAGATGGTTTGCTAATTTATTGTGTTAGGGTGGCATAACTAGTTGCTGCTAAGAATTCCTCCAGATGCATTGTGCTTTTTAAATGGAGGTTCCCCCCCCCCAAAAAAAAAAACAGTGATCTGGCTTCACACCTGTCAGATAGGAACCCAGTTAGGGATGAGGAAGAGTAGCTTCGGTCGAGGTTTGATTGAATGATCTCTGGGAGCCCTTATCACAGATAAACTACTTTACTTTACTTTTGTTTTATTTGAGAAAACGCTAAGGTGCTATTTGTTGTTGTTGTTGTTGTTTTTTTTTTTTTTTTTTTTTTTTTCTCCTTTTTTTTTTTTGAGCTAACCATTTGTCATGGTTTGAAGTGGAGCATCTTGTTCCTCACTGGAGTGACTCTTTAAGCAGCGTCTCCTGTCTGTGTGGCTGAGATTCATGGAGGAGACTACTTAGAGTTAAACCGTGCATCTGTTCCTCAGACTCAGCACCCGGCAGCACAGGGAAAAGTCCTATCCATTGTCAGTCCACTTTGCATTGAGCTGATTAACTTCACAAATAAGTGGCCTCTGAGATTCGGGAGAAGGGAGGAGTAATGGTGTATACTGATTCTTCTAGAGGGGATAGTTGAAAACTTATTTACTGAAGATGTCTGCCAAAGGCTTTCTGTGTTGATTATTGACTAGTATTGTCTTCATATTGCCTGCTGAATTGATCTAGATATTGAATTTCTAAAGAATAGATTAAAAAGCTCATTTATACATGATTTTAGGGTTCTGATAACATAGGCAGTTTTATTCATGGATTTCTTACTATTTTTTTTAAAGATTTATTTATTTATTATGTATACAGTGTTCGTTCTGTCTGCATGCATGCCTGAAGGCCAGAAGAGGGCACCAGATCTCATTACAGGTGGTTGTGAGCTACCATGTGGATGCTGGGAATTGGACTCAGAACCTCTGGAAGAGCAGTCAGTGAGTGCTCTTAACCTCTGAGCCATCTCTCCAGCCCCGATTCTTCTTATTTTTTTTGAAACGAGACATAGAGATATTTTCTCTGTATGTTCATAATGAAAAGGTTCTTTAGATAGCTCGCATATTTTCATATGCCTTGTCTGGTTTGATTCTTGCATTTGGTTCAGAGAAGTATATATCAATGTTATTTCTGGATTTTACAGCCAAGGAGACTGAGAGTCAAAAGCCAGGATAGGGGCTGGGGAGATGGCTCTGTGGGTTAAGAGCACTGTTTACTCTTGTGGAGGATCCAGGTTCTATTCCTAGCACCCACAGGATGGCTCACAATAGTCTATTGCAGCGGTCGGATTAATAAATCACCAGTAATTGATATTTAAACAAATTTAATAACAAAACCAGACTCACGAAACCAAGGTTCCAGCGGAGTAGCCAGCGGAAACAGGGGGGAGCGGAAGGGGCGCGCAGCACAATATATATCAGTAAACATACGCCTGAGGGCAGCCCGCCCCCAAGGGGAGGGCTTATCCCTACATCTCCCTCCTTTTGTCTAAATAAGACAGAACTAACCTAAATACAACTATAAACAATAATAATAAATAATAGATATAACAAACAATATTGAGAACAAAAGTTTTACCAGACATTCTATCTCAAGGAGTCTAAATAATGTAGAGAGTAATTACAATTATATAATCTTCAACTCCGTCAAAGATCCGAGAAGGGAATAAATATTACTTAACAAATGAGCGATATCCAAAGCGTGCCATAAATGACAGAGACAACAGACTACCTGGGCAATCACCCAAATTCTCGTTCGCAATGTTGAGTCAACCAACTTTGGCTAAGGCCTAGCATGACTGACATACCATTATCAAATGCAAGGAATTTTCTTAGAATTATCCTACCCTGTCTTGGCAAGATAAGAAAATCCTGTTTCATATCTTTGTCAGTAGATGAGGTATGGGCTTTTCTTAACCCAAAGGCCAATTCTGCCAAGAAGACAAACTCCCAGTGGAGTGTCTTTGGTGCTCAACGTTCTCTCGGGAGTAGAGTGGTGTCGCCAGGAGTAATTGTGTCTCGGCACAGAATTCTAGGTTAGCTTAAAGGCCATTTTCTACAGCTCTTTAAAGAGGCTGAAGATTATACTATCTATACTAAATATAATCTCTATGTATCTAGAATACCTTATTAACCTAAAAATAAACATGAACAACATAAAATTCTCAATACCTATCTAACTTGAAGACTAAAAAAAAAAAAAAACTGTGCAATACATGAAGACAATGATCTTCATCTGTAAACAATGTCATTACATATCAAATGTAAACAATGTTATTACATAAATAGTATCAGAGGTAGAAATGTACATTGTGATATGGTAGATGTATCAATACAATATAAGTATACTCTTATACAAAAATAGAGGTAGGAACACTCACATTCAATATTCAATATGTCAATATACAGGAAACAGTACCAATACAATTTTCTAAAAACAGTAACTCACAAATACCAATCATCCCATCAAACCAGTTAATCCCCCTTTTTTTTTTTTTATTTTTATTTTTTTTTTTTAACATACCCCTAACTCCATAAAACATCTTATCCCTACAGTCTATAACTCCAGTTCCAGGGGGCGCAACATGTTTTGTTCTCCTCAGACACTGCATGCATGTGGTACACAGACACACATGCAGGCAAACACCCATACACATTTAAAAAAATCTTTTGGAAAGAAATGAGTCTGAAAGTCACTTGTGGTAAGAGAAACAACCTGATAGCTCTTAAAATTACAACCCCATGTCCCCCATCCCACTCCCTGGCCATGTCTGTACTCTCGGCCTTATAGAATAGTGGGAAGAACTCCACATCGGGTGTCAGGAGACCTCCACACATATGCTAATGAGGCCATTGCTGACTCTGGTGTTGAAGAGGTCACTAAGCTCTTTGGGGCAGTTTTTGCACATAGAGTACTTTGTTTCCTTATGTTGTTCCTTAGGGTCTACTAGGATCTCATCTAGAGCTTGTCTTAGTTTGAATGTGCCCACTTGAAGTACAGAGAAGAGATGAGGAAAGAAGCGAGACTGTAGGCATTGTGTCCAGCTCGGCTTTGGGTCCTCCCACCAAGTGCAAAGACCTGGGATTTATGCATAAGTAGAATCTGCTTCCTGACCTGTCATGTCCAAGTCTGTTCTTTTTGACTCATCGGCAAAGGCGCTTGAGCCAAACTCTCCGGTAATTCTAGCCTAGGGATGAGCAGCATGAGGCTACATTCCCATCTGGACCCCAAAAGAAACGATAACCTGGCACAAGCCCATCTGTCATCCTAATCCTTGTCAGAGCATAGCAGACATATCGCTGCACACTTCAGGAGTTAAGTCAGATGCCTTCTCTTCCAGTTTTCAGCCTCTTATAGGTAGCCGAGGAATGAGTAAAGACAGAGCAGCCCAGAAGTGTTGTTGTTGTTTTATTTTGTGTATCCATTCCCATGGATACACAAACAACTGCTCAACCTAGAAAGCTGTAGGATCGATTGGGATGACGCCATTTGATTGACGTTAAAACAGAAACAAGAGGACAGCAACCCCAATACCCTGCCAGTGTCATCAGCCATCATGATTACTGTATAAAAGAACAACCAAGGAAGCTAACATGGCAGTTTCTCAGTGGGGAGAAAGGATCCACCTTCTCAGCCACAGAGTTGGCAATTCTTCTTCAGTGTCGAAGTCCTGGTCTTGCGCGGGATAGGCAAGGGTTTGGCCAGTGAGCCACAGTCCCAGCCAGAATTAAATTTTCACCTTGACATGTGCACTTTGGGTCTACGGCAATGCCATTTCCGGTCTCAGCCCACCTTTCATTTGAGAGGCCGTCCGACGCCCTGGCCCCTGTCGCTTACTGGTTGCTTCCCTTGCAAGTTGTAATCTGAACTGGGAGAGGAGAGCAGGTGTCTGTGATGACTTTTTCCATCTGCCCGGAAGTCTCTGTCTGCCCTTGCTCTTCTACAACAAAGCAGATACTGACTTGTTCCCCTTATGTCCTTCCCCATAGGCAAGAAGCGAAACCCGGGCCTTAAGATTCCAAAAGAAGCATTCGAACAACCTCAGACCAGTTCCACGTAAGTCATGAAGAGGAGGGTTCCATTATGGATACTTGTATTTTACATGCTTGCCGTGTGTGTGTGTGTGTGTGTGTGTGTGTGTGTGTGTGTGTGTTGGGGGTGGGGAGGATGTTGAAATAGGAGCGGCAGGGCTGCGTCCCCGGCACCCGGCCGCCCGCATGGCTAGCTTATGCCCGAAATAATTACACGGAAACTGTATTCTTTCAAACACTGCCTGGCCCGGCTAGTTCCAGCCTCTTATTGGCTAGCTCTTACATATTGTTCTAACCCATTTCTAATATTCTGTGTAGCCCACGAGCTGGCTTACCAGGGAGGATCTTAACCTGCGTCTGTCTGGAGTGGGAGAATCATGGCGACTCTCTGACTAAGCTTCTTTCTCCCAGAATTCTCTTCTGTTTTCTCCACCCACCTAAGGGTGGGCCTATCAAGGGGCCTAGGCTG